CATGTTTTCCCATTCAGCTTCAGAGATGAGAGTCCAGAAGGTCAAGTGAATTTGCTCAGGGCTATAACCATGGCCAGTGGCCAGTAGAGAGTTGTTCATTATAACCAGCAGCCTAGAGATCTGTCCCTGGGAGCAGATTCCCTCCCAACCTCAGTCACTATTCAGGGTCCTCTGTCGCCAAAGCACAGGATAACGCTGGAGCCTGCGGCCACAGAGCCATCACCACCGATGCAATCCAGTCTGTTAATACCTGCAGTGTGCACTGCTTCAGCTCCAGCCCCGGAACCTTCTGCAAGCCAAATGTCATCCATGAAACATGGGTTCTCTAAAAGGACAAGATAGGATTGGGTAATACTTCAAAAGCGGTGATAGAGGGAATTCCCGGGAGGTCCAGTGGTTAAGACTCTGCACTTCCACTGCAGGGGGTGCGGGTTTGATCCCTGGTCCCTGGTCGGGGACCTAAGATCCTGCATGCCGCACAGCGCAGCCAAAAAAAAAAAAAAGTGGTGCTAGGAGAAAAAATGCAACTAAACCATGAAAAAGAGAAAACAAAATATATTTAAATCTTTTACCTTAAAATTCCAAGCCCTGCGTCCAGGGATGGGAAACAACTCATATAGGCCAGATCTTGGCCCACCACTTTCACTATTGAAATGTGACACTATTTTCTGGTTCTAATTCAGGACAGAACATATCTTGTGAAATAACATTATCCTATGATGCCAACATCACCCTGTGGGGAAACAGAGCTGTTGTTGAAGCTGGGTTTGCCATCTCTCCATTTATTCAATAGTGCTTTCCTGAGCGCCTACTGTAGGATAGTTGCTTGGGAGATAGCAGTCTTCATCATGAATGTCCTGCCCTTTCCAGCCCCTCACCTTCCCCGCTCTAGACCTGGAAGGCTCACATAAAGCCTAAAGCGTTCTGAAAAAAAGCTAGCTGGGTGGTTCACAGGCCAGTTGGATCTTCCTGAGGCTGAAAGGAAAAGTGTTGCTGCTTCGAAGGCAAAACCTCTGCCCATTAACCCAGCAGGTAGGTGGAGGAACGGGGACTAAGCGACCCAGAGTCCCTTAGCCGTCAAGGACTCCTCTGAGTCATAAGCAGAACATCAGGATACCGGTGAAAGCACGGAGTGTAGGTCTTGAAGTCGTGGGGTGGGTGAGAATTGTGCCTCTCAGAAACATGGCAGAACTGTCAAAAGTACATGAAGTCAGCTAAGCCAATTATAACAACCACAATGTGTTATCAAATTGATGGCCATAAAGTTCATACTATTCCTTTGTTATCATTTTAACATCCACGGGATCAGTAGAAATGGCCCCTCTTTCTTTCCTGATATTAGTACCTTGTCTCTTCTCTCTTTTTCTTAGTGTGTCTTTAACATCTCCCTACTGTTTGCTAATCTTGCTTTTGTAGCAAGACAGAGATCTGGTCTCAGACCCATCCTTCCTGGGTCACAGTATCTAGCTGGAATGAAATAACACCAGGATGTAGACATTGTTATCTTCTGTTTCATGAAAGTGAAACAGATTTTCCAGTTATAGCAAGGTATAAAGTTTCCTTTTTAAGGAAAAGTACTTAAGGAGGAACATGAACATGTATTTAAAGAAAACAATTGAGTTGATAATAGTACAGCTTGGTCTAGAGATTTGGCAGAAATCACAAAGGTGGCATTCCAGCGAGAGAGATTTGGGCAACACTGAATTAGAACCAACCGTCATGAAGGCATCTTTCTTGCCCCATCAGTTCTGCTCCAACAATCCCCATGTCGTGATCAGTTACGAGGTATGTCTTGGTAATTCGCTGATAATAAAGTTCCAAAGTATGTGAATGATTGACTCCAAAATATAAAAATCAATGAGAGATGATTCAAAGCTTACCCTAAAATAATTTAATCCCTCTCCCTCCTTCACCCGCATTCTGATAAGCTTTTTTTTTTTTTTTGCCACGTGGCTTGTGGGATCTTAGTTCCCCAACCAGGGATCGAACCCAGGCCCATGGCAGTGAAAGTGCCGAGTCTTAACCACTGAACCGCCAGAGAATTCCTGATAAGCTTTCTTAAGTGAGGAGAAAGCAATGGGGTGGCAGCTCTGCACTGTGAACTGTGTCTAATCCAGGTGTACCCATGGGAACGTGACACCGGGAGGAAGACTGTGAGGCACTAGAAAGAAAGGTGAATCAAGTCTAGCATTTATATTTATAAGTAGTATAATATAATATGAAGTAATGCAATATAATATAACGTATTATATTATATATGCACATATAACAACAAACATGCCTATTCGTGTTAAATAGATTGAATGCTATAGGAATCGAGTTGTGAACCCATCTCTTCTCTACACCTCTACTTAACAGGACTCACTGAAACTGGACCAGCAAAGAGTTAGTCTACAAATCATGATTCTAATTTTTCCACCATAGAAGTCAATCTTAAAATCAAGAGGCTGGACAGAATAGTGGTTATGGGATGCGGACTCCTAAGACAGACTGCCTGGGCTGAAATCCCAGCTCTGTGACTTACATGCTGTAAACTAGTAGAAACAGCTAACCTCCCTCTGCCTTCCTTTCCTCTTCTGGAAAATGGACGTAATGAAAACACCTACCCCAGGAGGCTGTTGTGAAGAATAAAGGAGTTAATTTGTGTAAAGCATTTAGAACAGTGGTCGGTACATAGTAGGTTCTCAAGAGTTAGTTCGTTTTTTTGTTTGTTTTTTGTTTTTTCGGGGCCACACCGCGTGGCTTGTGGGATCTTAGTTCCCTGACCAGGGATCAAATCCAGGCCCCTGCAGCGAGAGTGTGGAGTCCTAAGCACTGGACGCCAGGGAAGTCCCAGGAATTAGCTAGAATTTAATGGCATTTCTTAAAATGAGATGCTCCCCACCCCCACATAAACCTTTCTTTCTCCCTCTCTCTCCCTCTCCCTCTCTCTCTCTCTCTCCCTCTCTCTCTTTCTCTCTCCCCCTCTCTCTCTCTCTCTCCCTCTCTCTCTCTCTCTCCCTCTCTCCCTCTCTCCCTTCAATTTGTTTTTTCACACCCTCTGACTTCTCCATGGACCAGTGCTGGATTTGCAGGGTACTTGTAGGGTAGTTGGGTTTACTTCTCCTTTTTCTCTCCGGGGGAACAAAATATAATTTACCTCAAACCTTTTTTTTTTCTTCAAAATGTTCCGAGAGGGAAAGTAAAACATCCAACAAGCTTATCTGAGTGAAAACAGGTATAATTTGCATGATAAAGATATATTTCCATTTATAAAGTTCATCAGCAGAACTAATGACAAATAAAGGGAAGATCCAATTAAAGTCCCCCCTCCATTAACAACCTTGTTTCACTCTTAGGGCAAGAATTTTAAAAGGAGAGGCTTAAGTTGGAAATGACTGAAATATTAAGGTTCGTGGCATTAATGAAGTGATCATATTAGAATTCAAGGAAAGGAGATTCTCCAGTGATTTTTGTAATCAGAGTCAGATGCATTTCCCCCAATTCCAGTTCCACCAGCTTTTTCTTGTTCACCCAAATGAGCTGTCAGGAACTGACGGGCGTCATCATAATCAAAGAAAACAAGTTTGCCCTTTAAAGCAAAGAGGTAATTTGGCTGAAAGCAAGTTGGAAACATTTCCCATAACGTTGCATTTGCAGCCGCAATCTCTAAAGAATTTGAGAGTTTTGATTTATGCTTGAGAGCCTTGGGGGACCATGGGGAGAAGTGAGTTCATTAAACACTTGGCTCACATTCATTCTGTGGCCCATAGGGCAGAGATCCTTCATTCCCCGGGGAGGCTGAGGAAGCTCCATGGCTGTCCCTAAAATGTTATTTTCAGGAAAAGCCTTAAGGAACTCACGAGATTGATTGGGGAACAGGAAGCAGGTGGGAATCAAGGAGATGCAAGATAATGCCCTCTGCCCCAGTCCTCAGCCCCCAGAGGCTTCTGGTTTTTTTTTTTTTTTAATAAATTTATTTATTTACATTTTTGCATGCATTGGGGCTTCGTTGCTGCATGCGGGCTTTCTCTAGTTGCGGCGAACGGGGGCTACTCTTCATTGCAGTGCACAGGCTTCTCATTGCGGTGGCTTCTCTTGTTGTGGAGCATGGGCTCCCAGCGCACGGGCTTCAGTAGTTGCGGCATGTGGGCTCAGTAGTTGTGGCTCGTGGGCTTAGTTGCTCCGTGGCATGTGGGATCTTCCCGGACCGGGGCACGAACCCGTGTCCCCTGCATCGGCAGGCGGACTCTCAACCACTGCACCACCAGGGAAGACCCCCACCCCGATTTTTTTAATCCATTCTTAAAAGCCAATGCAAATGCGCTGTGCTGGTCCTCATGCTGTTCGCTCTCGGCACCATGATTTGCTTGTCCCTCTTCTGCTCTGTCTCCAGCTGCTGACCCCTGCGGGCTGCATTGCCCAGGCTCCCTTGTCGCTGGTTTCCCACTGGATTTGGTCAGTGGGAGGCACTGGTGTTAGATTGGAAGGCTGGACAAAGGGAGAAACCAGATTTCTCCTCTTCTCTCTGCTTTGGGTTGCATTTCCGGCAGTGGCCACAGCTCCACTGGGGCTATAGTGACTCCTGGACAGGAAATGGCTGTGGCTCCAGCTTCCCCTGGGTGGCCCTGATCCCCAAACCCACCGCTTCCTCCTCCTTCGTGGTTTCCTGCAATTGACAGTCGCTGGGTGGCTTTCCCTTCCCCTGATTGGCCTCTCAATTCTTCCATCACCCACGTAACTGGTTGCTGTGTTTGAATACCTAGAATGATGTCTGTATTCCTGGTTGGTCCCTGCCTGACACATGTGCCTGAGACCCAGCTCCACATATGGTCCCCTTACCCTTGGGGCCCTGAGCACTGTTACAAAGCTAAACGCGGCTTTCCTTGAGAGGTTCTGTGTAAAGGCTGCAGAGCACCTAAGACAAACTCTCCACGTCAACAGTTTACGGCTGCTGTGGCCACACCAGCCGTCCCGAAGTCAGCCTGACTCTGCTGACTACCTACTCCTTCCTTTTTCAGGGTTGCCAGAGACAATAAAAGCAGGAAGCCCAGATAGTCTACCAAAGTCTCAATCTCTCAGGGCGTACAAAGGCGAAGAAGACCGCTCATAAAATGGCTTTGGACATCCTTGCCGTGGGCCCTCTCTACGAAGACCCTGACGTCAACAGAGTAAGGCTGATAGCACAGACAACCAAAAACTCCACCGCCCCGCCAAAACGCTTGCCTCCTATCAAGACCAAACTCACCACCATCGAGACCAAGAGGATCATGTCCGTCCTGGACGAGACCATTCACAAGGTGGAGTTGGTGACCCTGCTGTCATACGTGGCATCCAGTTCCAAGAATTCGGAGGGGATGCTGGGGGAGGACATCATGAAAGCAGTGAGAGAGCACCAGGACCTTTGCCAGATCCTCGTGGATCGTGTCAGTTACCTGCAGGAGGAAGAAAGGCAGTTGCAGGAGGAAGAAGAGTTCGAGGATGAACCGTCGTTCCGAGACCGTGTCCTCTCCATAGAGGTGCAGAAATCCCACCTCCCACCCCTTATGCAGCAGATCAAAGGATCCACCAAGAACATCGTGAGACTCCTGCTCAGTAGCCCCCAGGCTGCCAGGCTGTTGCAGGTGCAGACCCTGGGCAGAAGTGTGGAAGCCCAGAGTTTTATTGATAGCCTGGTAGAACTCCGAGGTTTCCTGTTTGAGAAGCTACTCACTAGTCCCATGGAAGCCAGAGACAAGACTCAGTTCATCCAGGACATCACCAGACGGAATCAGAGGAACCAAGAAATCATCGATACTCTGGAAAATGAATTGGCAGCCTGCGTGAGGAACAGGGATGCAGAGGTATCACTGCACAGTATTGGTCAGGTTATAGGAGGAGCCCCAGGGAGGAGTCCAAATCTTTTGGCAGTTGGGTTTTTTCCTCAGTGATTTAAATAGCTGTTTTCATTCTTTTACTCCATAAATATTGTTTTGAGCACTTACCGGATGCCAGGTCTTATAAATGATGAGTCCACATGGTCCCAGCCTCATGGAGTTCATGATAGGGAAGGTAGGTCTTAAAGAGCTGATTTAATTACAGTTTTGAGAAGTACAAGGAAGGGTAAGTATAGGGTGCTATAAGAGAGTGTTATAGGAGACCTGAACTTGGAACTCAGGGATGTTGAAGCCAAGACATGGAGAATGAGAGGGAGTGAACCAGGCGAGTGAGGTAGAGAGAGACCTTCCAGGCCAAGGCTGGGTAGTAAATACTTAACTTAAGGCTTTGCTCGCAGATTACACAGGGCCTTTGAGGCCTAATCGAGGAATGTGGTCTTTGTCCTGAGGGTAAGGGGCAGGTAGGAGGGGTGGAAGCTCTAGAAGAATTTTTAAGAGGGGAAAGGATAACATGATCCCAACCTAACAAGACACATACTACGTGTTATTCTTCTTTTGCGGAGCACAGGCTCCGGATGCGCAGGCTCAGTGGCCATGGCTCACGGGCCCAGCCGCTCCGCGGCATGTGGGATCTTCCCGGACCGGGGCACGAACCCGTGTCCCCTGCATCGGCAGGTGGACTCTCAACCACTGCGCCACCAGGGAAGCCCCTATGTGTTATTCTTTACACACATTTTCGCACTAACAGCTAGCAAAGTCCCTGGGAAGTGGCGTGTAAGTATAGGTTTGGCTGCTAAATCAGAGACCCCAAATAATAGTGGCTTAGTCAAGCTGGTGGTGTATTTCTGTTTAACAGAGAGCTGGCATGGAAGCTCTGCTTCGTAAACTCGTCAGGGGCCCAGGTTCCTTGCTGCTGGCTTCTCTGCTGCCCCCCACATGGGGCTTCTAACTGTGGACCCAGAAGGTTGCTCCAGCCTTCCACCGTCATGTCACCACTGGTCCAGCCAGCAGGAAGGAGGAAAGGGGAGGAGGGGACTTTGTCCTACCCTTTTGGGACATCACCTAGAAGCAGCGTTCATATAGTTCTTAGCTACACCCAGTGCTAGAGATGCTGGGAAAGTGGTCTGTAGCTGGGGCCACCTTCCCAGTGAAACATTCTGCTCTACAGCCTTTCTGGGGGAGAACAGGTCCTGGGGGACAGCCAGCCAGCACTGTCACATTTTCATCGCCCTGTGATAGATGAGAGATCAAGGCCACGCTCCCTCCCTGATGTACTAGCTCGGGGGGTCCCCCCTTCCTTATGTTCTCTCCGACTTTGTCCTGTACAGCATTCATCAGGGTTTGTTGATGACTGTGTGATGATTTGATGATATGATTGGGGTCTGGCTCCCCCACAAGAGAACAGGGACCTTGTCTCTCTTGGCCCTCCACTGGGTCCCTAGTGGGCCTGGCACAAAAAGGGGGACAAGGTAATTATCTGCTGAGTAGAAAGATGACAGGCTCCTGGGTGCTCAGGGGAGACCACTCATAGGTTGGAGGGGTGTCACCTAGGGAAAGGAAGAGGACTTCCAAGTGGCTTTGCTGGTCTCATTCGGGTAGTGGAAACAGCTTGGGGCTGCCAAGTTGGACAGATCTGGGGTCAAATTCCATTTCTGCCAGGTGGGCAGATTTCATCAGGTCACTGGATCTCACTGTAAAATGAGAGGCTGACACCAATAAGGCATGTTGAGGGGTCCACAAGAAAAGCTCTGACTGCGAATAGTACTGCCTGCTTCAAACCCAACCCCTGAAGGCTGAAGACTTGCCCACAGGACAGGCTTGCCTCAAACCCCTCCCCACCCCGCCTCCCACTCCCTGAGTACAGGAAGTGAGCTCAGACCCGCTGCAGCCCTGCTGCCAGCTGCCCCCAGCCCGAGGCTGCTGGCCTGAGCCAGCCACAGCACCGGTGTGTTCAGAGGGACACCCTAGCACTTGTGATCAGCCTTTGGAGTTTATTTACGAAACAGCGGTGCCCCCCAACCCCAATTCCTGTTTTATTTTACTTTATTTTATTTTTATTTATTTATTTATTTATTTTTAACATCTTTGTTGGAGTATAACTGCTTTACACTGGTGTGTTAGTTTCTGCTTTATAACAAAGTGAATCAGTTATACATATACATATGTTCCCATATCTCCTCCCGCTTGCATCTCCCTCCCACCCTCCCTATCCCACCCCTCTAGGTGGTCACAAAGCACCGAGCTGATCTCCCTGTGCTATGCGGCTGCTTCCCACTAGCTATCTATCTTACGTTTGGTAGTGTACATATATGTCCATGCCACTCTCTCACTTCGTCCCAGCTTACCCTTCCCCCCCCCCATATCCTCAAGTCCATTCTCTAGTAGGTCTGTGTCTATGCCCGTCTTACCCCTAGGTTCTTCAGAACCTTTTTTTTTTTTTAGATTCCATATATATGTGTTAGCATACGGTAATTTTTTTTCTCCTTCTGACTTACTTCACTCTGCATGACGGACTCTAGGTCCATCCACCTCACTACAACCAATTCCTGTTTTAGAACCGACTGAGGGTCACGAGCCAAGCCAGGCCCTCAAGGGGAGAGCGGGGTGGGGGGGGGCAATCCCTGCGGTGTGTGTTTATCTCACACTTTCATGCATCGCGCCAAGTGTCCCTGGCAACTAGGCACTCCCCTGCTGTGCCCCGGCAGGAGCGTCGCGCTGTCGCAGACCTCTCCTCCTGTGACCCCGCTCAGGCGCGCCTGTGCACTTCACACACGCCGGGAAATAGAGGATGGTGGCCAGACAGCCTGTCTGGATCAGACAGACCCGGCTTCAAATTCCATCTCAGCTGCACAACCCCAGACAGACTCAACCCCCGTGAGCCTCAGTTTCCCGGTCTCTAGGCAGGCTGTCCCTGTCCTCCGGGACCAGGGCTGGGATTTGGTGAGGTAGTAGCGCCCCGTCCTGAGGGGGCTGCAGGCACGCCAACCTCTCCTGCGATGGCTCACGATCGCGGAGGTATCCTGGAGCCTCTCTTCTTCCTGGCCCAGGTGGAGAAGGAGAACGTCGTGATCCAAGAACTGAAAAACCACCTGCACCAGCTGCCCAAGCTCTCAGAGAACAGCCTCCTTCGCACCAAGAAGGAGGCCAAGAAGCAGCAGAAGGCGGACTTCCGGGCCTCGCAGGCCCGGGTGGCCAAGACCCAGCAGGAGATCCTGCTGCTGCAGGCGCAGTTCAACAGCCTGGTCGTGGAGAACTGGGAGGCAGAGCAGGCGCTGAGGAAGGTGCCCCGGGGAAGCGGGGCGGTGGGGGCAATGGGGCCACTGGGGCAGGGGAGGGGGCGAAGGGAGGGCCAGGCGCAGGGCTTGGGGGGGGGGGCAGGGCTGCTTCAGCTGCCCGGGGCGCAGCTCCCTGGGGAGAAGGGTGCAGGGAAGCCCAGGATGGACACAGTATCCCTCGGGAGGCAGGAGGGAGCAGCACACAGGCCAGGGACTGGGGGCAGAGAGATCAGGTCCTGCTGCAGGCCAGCTCTGTGACCTTGGGCAAGTTCCTGAACTCCTCTGGGCCCCACAAGGAGGATGATACCCACCTGTCCTGCAAAGGAAATGAAGGCGCACAGAAACCTCTGGCAAATCTCTTAACTCCCTCTGAGCCTTAGTTTTCACATTTTTAAAATGAAAGTGATTGAATAGGCCTTAATGAGTTGCTATGAGAATTAGATGGGATGATGGGTAGGCAGCTGGTAGCACCTAGTCGGTGCTCAATAAATATCCTTTTTTCATCTGCCTTCTCCATCGTCTCAGCCAGGACCCAGGCCCAGCATGCACCCAGTTTGCTTCCGAATCCCTTTCCTCACAAAGGGCACCCTTTCTAACACTTGTTCTCAGATTCGTTTTTGTTTCACTACACTTTTGAGCATCTAATGGAAGCACCGGACCTCTCCCCCATGAAAAGGCACAGAAGCACATACCCATGGTGGGGGGCAATGCTTGGGTTACAGGCCCCCTGAAGCCAGCCCATCCGTGGTGCCCAAGTTATGACCTCTTGCACTGTAGGACTAAGGAGCTGATTTTTTTTTTTTAATTGAGGTGAAATTCACATAACATAAAATATAACCGTTTAAAGTTATTCAGTGGCACTTAGTATATTCACAATGTCGGACAACCACAACCTTTATCTAGTTCCAAGATATTTTCATCACCTCCAGATAAAACCCTGTACTCATTAAGTAGCTTCTCCACCTGCCTCCCCCCAGTCCCTGGCAACCACTCATCTACTTTTTATCTCTATGGATTTGCCTATGCTGGACTCTTCACGTAAATGGAATCATACAATATGTGGTCTTTCGTGTCTGGCTTCTTTCACTTAGCCTTGCACTTTCAAGGTTCATCCACGTAGCATTTACCAATACTTCACTCCTTTTTATGGCAGAATAGCATTCCACTGTATGTACAGGAGCTGATCTTTTAAAAACAAAATTAGATCACGTTCCTCCACTGTATCTAAATCCACCCAACAGCTTCCACTCTCCCTTACGTTAGAAACCAAACTCCTTCCACTGCTGACACTCCCTCTGTGACACAGCTTCTCACTCTGAGCTCAATGGGACCATTCTCCTCCCCGGCCACGCCATTCCAGCCACACTGGCTCAGTTCCTACTCTTTAAACATCACCAGCTTGTTCCCACCGCAGGGCCTTTGCACCTGCTGCTCCCTCTGCCTACAGTGTTCTGGAGCTGGACTGCTGGCTTCAAATCCAAGCTCCACCACCCATCAGCTCTGTAATCTTGGGCCAAGTGAGTTAGCACATCTGATCCTCCGTGTCCTTGCCTGTGAAATGGAGAACATACCTTGTGATGTGGATTCAGGAGGCGAGGCGTGAGGCAGGGCCTGCTGACGCAGAGCGGGCTGAGTGCTTTTTATTGTTAATATTAGTCCATCACACAATGACTAATTGAATTTTTTTTAGAAAAAATATAAAGTGGAAACGGAAATTGAGAACTGGATCCAGAAATACGATTTGGAGATGAGTGAAAAGCAGGTATCTGTCTGCCTAAGTCTCTCTCAAGTGTGTTTCCCAAGATCCTCTAGGAATGGGGGTGAGGGGTGGAGAAGAGAAGCCCTAGTGTGGTCCATGGTCTATGCCAAGTTCTGGGCCTCTCCAGAGTGGCTTCCCTGCCCCTTCCTTAGGCTCAAGGGTTTGTCTAGCCTGGGGCAGTAAGGGGAGCCATGGGAAAGGAAGGAGCCAGAAGCTGTGAGCCACTAAGATGTGCTTGACACCAGGCCCGAAGATCCTGGCTCCATCTACTGTCAATATCCTAGACTCCCTGTTCCCTCCTGCTCAGCTCCTGCTAGCAGCCCCCTAAGCCGGGACTCATCCCCATGGGGTTCAAGCATTCACCTCCACCACTTCACTGAGGAACTTTCTACCGAGTGTTTAGATGTGCCCGGTGCTGGACTCCAGCGGTCAACAAAGTCCCCATTGTCATCTGGAGGTTCTACTCTAGTGGCACTTACTCGCTGTGTGACCCTAAGCAAGGAACTTGACCTTTCTGAGCCCATTTCTGCATGTGATCACAGTAACACCCACGCTGGAACCATGGTGGGGATTTAACGAGTCACCATTGTCACAGGTGCTTGTACAGCACAGGATCTGGCCTGGAGGAGGTGCTCCAGGGAATAGTAGCCTAAAAACGGGGTGCCCTTAAGCCTCCACCCAGCTCTGTGATAACATCGGTGGCCCACAGCCCCGACTTTGGGGCAGGGAGGCCTGGTGAGCACTGGAAGTGACATAAGCCTCTGAGTGGTCAATGTCAGGTGTGCTGTCTGATCCTGAGTGCTCTATGAAGGGGGAGACTGGAGGCTGTGCTCTTGTTTCTCTGTTCCCAATGAGGGTGGTGGGTGAATGATGGCAGAGACCGAGTCCACTTAGCTCTGTGTTTTCTGGAAGTACTTTTCTTCTGGTAGATGCCTGGTGGGAGCGGGGGGGATGGACGTTGCATCCATCCTGTCATTTAATCCTGGAAATAGCTCCCACCCCTGCTCCTGGGTTTGGAATTGTCCCCATGTTTCAGATGAGGAAAAATGACGGCTTGAAAGGTGAAGCCCCTCGAGATGTGGCTGAGCTGGGATTGGAAGCCCAGCCTGCCCAGCCCACGAGCCGTGTTCTTTCCTCCTTCCTGACCTATTTCAGCTGGGTCCCACCGCAAACTCAGATGGACCGCATCAGCTCTCCCTTTCTCATCTGGGCCTCAGATGCAGAAAGGCTTAGCGTAGGCGGTATTGCTGGGGGCGGAAGCGCCTTCGGGAAGGGTGGGAACAGAAGAGGGTGGCAGGCGGTGCTCTGTGCCTGGAGACACCTACCCCCTGCCTGTCACCCCAGGATGAGTACGAGGAGTTGGATATCATCCACAAGGAGGAGAAGCTGCAGCTGGAGGAGCTGAAGAGACGGCATGACGTGCTGGTGGAAGAGTTCTCCCAGATCCAGGCCGAGCAGGAGATCAACACCAAGAAGAGGCTGGAAGCCGAGCAGGAGATGGTGCACATGGTGCGGGCTGCCATGCTCATCCAGGCCCTGTGGAGGGGCTACCTGGTCCGCTCCATGCTCAGGTCCAAGAAGAGGAAGTGGAGCAAGAGCAGAGGGAAGAAGGACAAGGGCAAGGGCGAGGGCAAGGGCAAGGGCAAGGGCAAGAAATGAGTCCCTCCCCCCAGCCTGCCCAGACCCCTGCCCTCACCAAGATCTTACCTCTCACTCAAGAGCCGGCCTGGAAGCCCCTGGGATGTGGAGCCCTGCGATTCATGGCCTTAACACTTTTTCAAAATTAAAAACCCTTTTAAACCACAGCCTACAAATAAACTTCACTTTACCCAGGGCCATTGGGTGCGTGTCCATGCTGCAGGTGCCGTTTCCACGAGGGGAACACACAGGCTGGGTGTCAGCACGTAACCATTCCTTCCTTTAGCCTTGCTGGGAAGCTGGACCTTGGGCTGCATCTCCCTCGGTCCCAGCCCAGAAGCTGCCATGACTGCGATGGACACATCACCCACCAGGACAGCTGGGTGTGGGTCACAGCTGCCCACAGGGGAGGGCGGGGCAGGCAGAGAACTCCAGGAGGAAGAGGGAGGGTTTCAGGCTGCACTCTGCCCCTGCTCTGGATATCAATTTGCCCACAACCTCTCCCTGGTTTAGCACCGTGAAAGCTCAGGGGTCCTGAGGTCATAAACCAGCAACCTCACATTAGCCTTATTTGGTGTCCAGGTAGTTGAAGAATATATTTTTTAATTCACTACTGGTGTTTTTTTTTTTAAGTCTTTATTGAATTTGTTACAATACTGCTTCTGTTTTATGTTTTGGTTCTTTGGCCGTGAGGCATGTGAGATCTTAGCTCCCTGGCCAGGGATCCAACCCGCACTCCCTGCACTGGAAGGCAAAGTCTTAACCACTGGACCACCAGGGAAATCCCCACTGCCGGCATTTAAAAAATCAGAGGCTACTGCTTAAAAATGACTTTTCTGGAAAAATCTCATCATCCAGATAGCCCGGGCCTGCGTGTCTTCTAAAGGTGAGGAGCGCCCCCTTTGGGTGGCAGACAGGTTGTCCCAGTCGCCACCACTCCCAATTGTCTTCCAGCCATCATGGCCTCAGCGTCAGTCACCCCTTATCATCATACTTGGGCGGTTGCTTCCCTTTTTTAGTACAGTTTGGAGGAAAGAGGTATTTGTGGCCAATGTCTACTAAAACATAGGGGCAAGGGATAAAGGCAAATGAAAGCTGAATGTTTCAAGTAAAACTGAGGAGGGAGGGAACTAATTCTTTGCAAGAGTTCTAGGAAATTTAAACACCCTACATGTTTAAAATGCTGTCTGTGCCAAGAGCATGGCTCGCTTGCGTCCCTCACGGCCCACCGGAGCCGTGTAGGCGTCTGAATGTGCGCCCCTGGTCCTAGGCACTGTTGGTCCCTCCCAGACTGTTCCCCAGGAGTGTCTGCTCTTCCCTTCCCCAAAGGTGGAGGCACAGAACCAAAGATGTGGCTTCCAGCTGGCCTCTCTGGAATCCCGGTGCTTCCTGGAGGTGCAATCCACCAGGATGCTGGGATTCTGGGTGCAGCTCCATCAGAACAAAGGCTTTGCTGTTCCTCCTGAGGGGCCTGACCCAGGATGGTGCGGGGCAGAAGGCAGGCGGGCCCTGACCACTTAGGCTTCCTCCCCGAGTGCTCTCCAGGTGCCATGTGGAAATTTCTGGTCTTCTTGGACCCCTCAAAGTCCAAGCAAATCCTAGTCACTGTGGGTTTTTTTTTTTTTTTTACAGTAGGAAATGTATATCATATATATATATATATACATATGATTTCAAAACAAGTCAACTATAGCCCATATTCTGAGCTCAGGAAGAATCAGCTAACCCCCCAATTAGTGTTATTAGCTAGAAACCAACACAGGAGGATTAGTTGCCCACCTGCCACTGTCATGATTGCTATGTTATTTACCTTTGTTATTTAAATCAACTCAGACCTAACACTGGCCTTTATCCTAAGGAAAAAATTAGCAAAACTCACGGCTTCGATGAGCTGATATATTTAATACATGAAAATAAATACATGACTATTAAAATTTTAAATGTCCACCCACATATCACCTTGTGTTCCCTGCTGGTCCACATACTGTGCCTGGGAAAATTCCTGAGGCGTCCAGACTCAGCTGGAAACTCATCCTGAGCAGAAGCTTGGCTTGAAGGGAGGGAGAAGGAACCCTCCGGGTTGGCGATCATACCATTTATTCACACTTGGTGGCGAGACAATGTTGTGGGTGTGATGGAGGGAGTGGGGGGACCCTCCCGGGGGACACCCCTGGGTTGGCACTGATATGCCGTGTGGCTATGACAGAACTTGAAACAGGGATCTCCAGAGGCGGCCCTCATATCCACACCAGCGGCAAAAGCAGGGAGCAACCAGAGGTTGTCAGAAGAAAGGGCGGCACTGCCCACCCTCTCTCTGTCTGCCCCCAGGAGTGCTTTGCCAATGCCTGGTGGTCTCCCCAAAGGCCCGCCCACCAGTGCCATCCTCTGAAACTCTGCCCTTTGCTGTGACCCCATGGGCAAACCTGCAGAAAGGACCAAGAAATTCATTTCCAAGGTGGCTTTGGTTTCTGGATGGCTCCGCCTCGTCGGGGGGTAACTGGCACTGAAACACTGACTGAATGAGCCCTGGGAGTCACCAGGGGGCTCCGGAAGGTCACTCCTGACGGGGAAGGTCTGGGATCTCGAGGCCCATTTGTGCAGGGGGTACTGGTGGGTGGGTGACTCGTGCTGGGGACATTAAGGTGGGTGAGGGAATAAGAACGCTCCCGCCTCGGAGGGCGTGGAGAGTCTAACCCGTCCACGGACAACCTCCGGGAATCTGCCACCACCCGGCGCTCTGTCTTTGAGGGAGTAGCTGGGTGAATGGCTCGCACTGGAGTCTCCCTGGGGCGGGGTGAGTGGCTGCCCCTAGGGGTAGCTGGGGGTGTCCAGAAGAGGGCATGGAGCTTTGCAGCATCCCCCTTCGCCATCCACGAGGCCTCCCAGCCGGCGCCCTCAGGTCGGGAGCCAAAGAGCGACTCATCGCAGTAAGAAGGAGTGTGGCCAATCAGTCTGGCAAGGGAAGAGAAACAGTGAGCTGGGGAAATAAACCCTAAAAACCTTGCCCACCCCCACCCGCACCCCCTGCCAGGCAGCTGCAGCAGCAGAGGGTTGCCTACAGGTCCCAGAAGTCCTTGTCTCCCAGCCTGGCACCTGCAGCGAGGCCACAGCCCTCATGTACCACTACCCCCATCTCTGCTATTTTTCCCCTGCCAAGTACCCAGTCCGCCTGCATCCTGCCCCACCCCACCCCACCCCCACTCCCTGGCATGTGCCCCAGGCCAGGCCAGTTTGCATATCCCATCCTCCTGACCACACTGATTGGCTCAGGAATAACCACATGACCCATTCTGCACAATAAGGGTCTGCCTTAGGACCTTTGCAGAAACTACTAGGAGAGAAATGTTTTTCTTCCACCTAGCCCTGAAGAACTGGCAGGATATAAGGGCTAAGCGCCAGCGGCCATCTCCCCTGGGATGTGTAGGGGAAAGCTGCACTAAAACAGAGACAAAATCCCAAGAACGTTTTGAGCCCCTGTTATATGAGCCCCAAATGCCCTTTTTCTGCTGAAGCCAGTTTGGGTAAGTCTTCTGTCACTTGCAACCAAGAGTCCTGATTAATATAACCTTAGTCTTTATAGCTTTCACTTTTTCTCTTAACCCACCACTTTTCCCTTTTTGTAGTGGCCTCGTCAGCCGAACCCTCTGCAGTCATGTGGCCCTTCCAACTATATTTGAAATTGCACAGCCCAGCACCTGGCATGTAGAGGGTTCTCAGTTTGAACTTCTGTGGTCTGGCCTCACCACCAGAGCAGCTTTTAAAATTTTTGCATATTTACTCAGGGCTTTTCATGTGTAGGTCCAGGACTCAGCATGTCACTTGTGTGTCATCTCATTTCTCACAACACCCACAAGGAGGGCGATATAATCCCATTTTACAGACAAGAAAACTGAGGCATAGGGAGGGTAAAAAGGAGGGTACAGACAAGATTCAAATCCAGCGCCCTGCTCAAAGACCCAAGCTCTTGATCACTAAGTCAGACTTAAGTGCCTTCTAGGCCTCTCACCTTTAATTAGATTCATTCAGCAATTTTTTTTTTTTTTTTTTTTTGCGGTATGCAGGCCTCCCACTGCCGTGGCCTCTCCCGTTGCAGAGCACAGGCTCCGGACGCGCAGGCCCAGCGGCCATGGCTCATGGGCCCAGCCGCTCCGCGGCACGTGGGATCCTCCCGGACCGGGGCACGAACCCGCGTCCCCTGCATCGGCAGGCGGACTCCCAACCACTGTGCCACCAGGGAAGCCCAGCAATTTTTTTTTTATTAGTCCCACAAATATTCATGGCATACCTATGAGGTGTCAGGTCCATGGTTTTTGGCCAGGACTAAAAGTGCTTCCATTCCCGAACTGCAAGTCTTTGAAAAGTCACTTGATTCAGCTGTTCAAAGCCATACCTGGTTGATACCTATGTCTGTCTGGTACCAAAGTTGCTGCTCAATAGCATCTCTAACTCTTACGTACCTTCTAACTTGACACCCTCTACTTGTCAGCGTCCTGCATAAAACTCCATCCTCCAGGAGAGCATGCGGTTGACTGTTATCTGCCTTGTTTAGGAAACCATACTTCTGTTCATACAGCCTACGCTGACACCAGCGTTTTGAGCCATGTTGTAGCTGTCAGTGCCGCTAATGTCAACCTGAGCCTGCCTTGTGGTCCACGGCAATTGCCAGGTGGACATGATAATAATGGGGACTTGCTTTTATCTCTGTTGAATTTTATCTACTTAAATAAACACTATTCCCATTCTCAACTACTATATGTGCCTCTTGGCTCAGAATGGATCCTAAATATGATTGGCTAATTATTATGGACTGAATTGCATCCTCCCAAAATTCATGCTGAATTTTAAAGAGGTAATTAAGGTTAAATGAGGCCATAAAGGTGAGGTCCTAATCCAATAGGATTTGTGTCCTTATAAGAAGAGGAAGAGGCACCAGGAGTGTACATGCTCACAGAGAAAAGCCCATGTGAGTTCCCAGTGAATAGGTGGCCATCTGCAACCCAAGGATAGGTAGCCTTCAGGAGAAAGCAGCCCTGCTGGCGTCTTGACCTTGGACTTCAAGCCTCCAGAACTGTGAAAAAATAAATTTCTGTTGTTTAAGCCCCCCAGTCTATGGTATTTTGTTATAACAACCCTGATTGACTAATATACTAGTCTTCCATGTTTT